AAAAAAAAAAAAGGGGGGGGTTAATCCTAGAGGGACCTGGCACATTAAGCTGAAGTGGTCTGGGTGCCTAGAGTGGTCCTTTTAATAGACTCCTGATGATATGATCTAAACCTGTCCCATTAAGCTCTTATCCATCGCTAAAAGTGATATAAATCTATTATCTTAATTTAGGAATAAGTGTATATGCCTAGAAATATTTTTTTATAAATAATTGTCTGGGGATCCTTTCCCCAGTCAATCCTTTCGTCTCCACTGCTGGCCCATACAGAACTGGCGTTGAAAGCTGCCTTCTCGGGTCGGTGTTGAAATCAATGATCTCCCTCACCTGCCCAAGGACACTTTGTTATGGGAGAGGGAGGTAGGACCTAGGAGGCAGAACGGCCCTCCTGCGAGCAGTCCAGTCAAAGTGTTGCTGTGCATTAACATGGCAACACTCCAACCCCATGCTTAACTCGCGGTAGAAGTAAAGTCAGCCTGCAGCCAGAGGATCTGCAGGCTAGAGATCACTGCTCACTACCGGACCACCGGGGCTTGAAATGTTCCCCCCTCCTTTTCCAAAGGTAAGAAGAAGGGTGGGGAGGGGACATAAGGGTTTGGTGGGTTTTTTTTGTTTGTTTTTCTTTTCTTTCTTAAATGAAAATAATAAAATATATATTTACATCCTTATTCCTATGCACCCCTCTCCCACACTCCACTCCTCACACACACACACTCCACTTCTACACACTGCATCCCTCACTGCAGGAGGAGCTTGCTTACCAGCCTCCTGCCCACAAACTATGGGCCCTGCAGGGAAACCTGTAAAAGACTACCAAACTTGACCGACCGTTAGCACTGATTTCATGGAACTGTTTTGGGCATAGGACCATGTGCACGGTCTGTCAAAATTATGACTTCCAGGAAATTCCTGAACTGATTTTTGGATATGTTGGTCACCCAGATCAGGGCTATCAGGGGATGTAACTTTTGTGGGGATATCATGTGTTTTTGGGGACTTTTTAGAAATGTATGGTTTTTTTTTTTTGGTTTTTTTTTTCTTCTGTTCTTGGAGATAATTTGATTAGAATTTGTACAGTTACTGATCCAATTATCTCCCAAGCAGAGGGGAGGGATTGTGTGTCGTGTGTGGGAGTGCCTTACAAGGTCCATGTGGTCGTACACCTTGCTTGGGGATTGTCATAAAAGGCCAGTGTGGCACCATTAAAATCTATTCCAGCTTACACTCCAAAACGGTGTGCCATCCTGTTATTGGTGGGAAAGAAGATTTACTGCTGTTCCAGTTTGCAGGGGATTCAATGGGGAAAGTCCTTGTAAGGACTAGAGCTAATTCTCCATTCGGTTCCAGGGCCCCAGTCAAGCCACGGCGACTGTGGGCAGAAGTGCTGCGGTTTGTCCCCTGTTCCATCTAGGAAGCGGTCCTTGGTGGAGGTACTGAAAGGCTAAACTGATGACTCGATCCCTTCTGGTCACGGTTCTCCAACCCTCGATTGTCACCTGAGCTCAGGGAAGAATTATGGAAGCAGAATAACGAGACAGACACAAGATTGCTTTCCAAAAGTCTTCTGACAATGTATTCAAAATGCTCTGTACTTATACAATATTTGTCACGAACATTGGTTACAGAAAGTTACACAAGATACATAAAAGAGGAAGTAGTTTCTGCTGTTACGTTCAATAATCTAATCTTACAAAATATCACATATACATGGTGGTTAAGCATCTCCTGATACATAGAAACTGTGCTTGTAACTTCCTTTCAGTTATGTTTTGCAAGCAGTTCTAAAAAGAGCTTGCTACTACATTTACAAAATAATTCATTTCTTCAATACTAACAGATTAACTGTTCCAATTCCTTCAGGTACCAAGTCTGGGTATAGGAAGGTCCGCTACAATATATATATATATTAAGTCTGTATGTATTTTGCAGTCTGTATATGTATCTAGTCTTTATGTATTCTGCAGTCTGTGTATGTATTTCTTCTGTATGTATTAGGCAGAGTGTGTGTATCTGTGTGTATATAGCAGTCTGCATGTATTTGTATTCAACAGTCTGTGTGTGTGTGTTTTCAGTAGTCTGCTGTGTGTATATGCAGAAATCTGTATGTATCTAGTAGTCTGTGAATATGTGTCCAGCGGTCTGTGTGTATGTATTGTACTAATATAAGCTTAATTGTTATTGATAATTTAGATTTTTATTCCTGTGAGTGGTTGCAGAGACAGGGCCCCAGTGCACTGCTTTGCCTGGGGTGGACCTATAAAGCTGTTAAGATGGCCCTGGTTAGAAATGGAACATATTGATTTTTTTCATACAATGTTTCTTTAATAAATTACCTCTGACCCAGAGTGAGTGAATATGACTCTGGGTAAGATAAGTCTTAGGTTGGTGTGACACCAAGTCAGGGCCTTACCTATGTCATCTCCAACATTAAAGGACCACTGCACACCCCAAAAGTACTTCAGCTTGCTGAAGTGCTTTATGGGTAAGGAGCACCCACGTTTAACCTCAGTTTATAAAAGTGCTGATTTCTGTGAGAAATCACTTTTATAAATTTACTAAGGAACTCCCCCCCGGCTGCCAAACAGCCAGTGAGGATTCCCTCCTGCTTCTGTTCGCTCCCCTGAGTGAACGGAAGTGGCAAGCATGCTCTACTTCAGCTTCAGCGGTGTGTGCATGATCAGGCCCACGTGTACGCAACGAGTCAGCACGTGCTTCTCAATATTTCCCTCGCAAAGATTTGTGATAAGAACTGCAGCTTTTGTAATCTTTTAGACTGTACTGTCAATGAATACATATATAAAAATATGCAGGCATGTATATATTGGGGGTATATCTACTAAAGCGTGGCTGGTTTATTATTTTTTTGTGTGGAGTGGCCCTTTCGTTTAAGACCAAACATTGATAAGGAGTCTAGGTCATGACAATCAACTGATTAAGATGTTCCTGTGGTAAATAACCAAAACTGTCATTTAATAGTCAAGTTAAAATAGATTAGGTTTGTTTTTCTATTTTCTCAACATGTCCTAATTAGAAATCTAAGGTATAAATGTGTACTTATTAATATTAGATGCAGAGACACTGCTCCATTTTTATCAAGACTGAGAGGTTGACTTGTTCTATTTTACTGATATTGCAAGCATATACTTTAGTCGTATAAACTCTGCTGTAAATTATGATAGATAATTTTCTTTTTTTTTTTTTTCTTTTTTTTTCTACAGTGCATATGACATAACAGATTTGCACAGGGTACCCCAAAGGCATTCCTTGTGTTATTCAGACAATGGTTACAATGGGATATACATTTGTACTTGCAGTCACGTTCTAACGAGATGAGTAACAGAGTTATAGTTATGTCACAAGCTTAACCGTCATTGCTTTCTAAAAGGTAGAGTGTATCGCATTTGTGATATGCATCATTGATAAGTACTAGAATAAAGAGCTGTGCATGTCGAGAAACAAGGATTGCACAGTATACAAATAGATCCAAGAGTTGCTTTGTCAGATATAACAGTTGTACAAAGAGATCAGCACTTTAAAAAAAAAAAAAAAAATTTTTGTCTGAGAGAAGACAAGAAAACAAGACGTAATGTATTATGCATAAAACATCTACACAGTTTCAACAGCTATTAACTTAGTGCGTCATATTCCTCTATTAGCCTCCGTGCCTAGATTGGATGAGCTGACAGTGGATATGAATTTAGTTTCGTAGTGAGCAAGATAGGCACAACGTCAACATAAGGAACAATAATAGAGAAACACAGGCTAGCAGTTTACGCATTGACCGGATTCATAAGTGGTGGTGTTTGGAGGTAACTGTGCAAAAAGATTTTGAAGTTAAAACATTACAGGTGAAACTATAGCTATGATTGCGATAACTTATGAGCTGAAAGAGTGAAAAGCTATATCTCATGCAGGCCAAATTGGTAAATGAACCATCACTCATGTAAGAGAAATAAAATCTATTTCTTTGGGATTCAAGTGAGTATTAATGCATAAGTAAACAAAGTAGTGATAAACTTGTTCTTTTTCGACGGTGTGTCCGGGCGCTATCTCAAGCTGGTGATTGTTATGCATACTAAGGGGGTGTTGGAGGTGTGTAGGTGATGTAGTGACCCCTAACCTAGGGGAGTTGCAGGGGGGAGGGGAGTGCAGTGGGGTGAACAAAGTGGAGTTATAATGCCATATCTGTGTGGTCATGTGTCATCTTGGTCGGACTTGACAAGGTTAAAGGCAATTAACTAATAGAAAAATATAGCAACTAGCAAAACAGAATAACAGTAGAGAAGGCAGGTGCTCGCTGTCTTGTCGTGGTTCAGGTTGGTGCTTCGACTGTTCGGTTTCCTCTAAGGATGAAGGGAGCTCAGCGTTCAGGGTCCCAGACTCGGCGAGTAGTTGATGGTGTTCGGTGTGGGTCCGTTTGTGAAAGTCCCAGAACCTGAAGGAAGGTGGTAGCTTCCGAAGTTGATGTCAACCGCAGAGTAGTGCTGTTTCCAGTTACTATGAGGGAACGCGGGTTCGACCATCTGTAGGTTGTTTACTTTTCATAGTTGGTTGGCGACTTGGCTTAGTGACCTTCTCCATTGTAATATGTTTCGGGACAGGTCATGAAAGAAGGTGAGCGTGCCGGTTTCAAATGTATATGGCATCTTGCCTTGTATGGCCACGAGTGTTTTTCTATGAGTGATTGGCATCTCAGAATCACGTCTCAGGAGGCAGTAGAAGGAGCTTGAGGAGGTTTAATTCCAGCCTGACTTTTTTTGGTGTGGGCAGGGGGTAGCAGTTTAGCGATTAGGCGCCTGAGGTAGTGCGGTAGCTCGACTGAGTCGACATAGTCCAGGATGCCCCTAATCTTGAGGTTACCCTGTCTACTGTGATTTTCTATTAAGTCTAGTTTCATTGATATGTTCTCCTGGAATGTATGCATATCTTCCTTCTTGCCAGTCACTGCACGCCTTGTGTCCAGTATGTCTTCCTCTACTGCCTGTACTCGAGGAGTTACTGTCTAAACTTCTGTTTTAACTAAATCAATGTCCTTAGAGAACATCTGCCTCATATTACGTAGGAGGTCCTGGATGTCCTGCTTTGTAGCTGGAGCTTGTGCCTCAGTGTTTGTCATGGCATCTGATGTTGCGGTGTGGACCTGGGTGTCAGCTTGCTCCTCTGAGTTTGCTTCTGAGCATGTGGAGCCAGATTTACGGTCCCGTATGGCTGCCATTTTGTGGGTCTTTGCATGGGATGTTGTGCGCTGCAGCATGGTGCCTATGTCAGGGGTGTTGTGACTCCTTCATGCAGGCAGCCACTGTGATCGGCGTCACATGTTGCCCGTGTCCCTCTCGCGGTTGTGCTCATTAGGATGGGCTGAGTGAGCACTTCCTGTCAGTCCGGCCGGGTACAGAAAAGGGATGCTCCTATACCCCAGAGCGGAGCTCGGCCACGCTACACTGAAGGAGCGCTGTGTGCTTTTCTCTTGCCGATCCCTCATATCTTGCACCCCTAGGCCGGTATGCCCTGATGGATGTGCCAGCCCAGGCAGTGCAGCAGCCGCCAGAGGCTCTCTATAGAGCACTCAGGCGGCAGCAGCATTTAAGGGGCCGGTGCTCCTGGTGGTGCCCTAGGCGACTGCCTTAGTCGCCTATAGGATGCACCGGCCCTGATTATTTTGATATGTGATGGCAAGATTTAAAATGCAGAAAGGGACTGGACACTTGGACCATGCACAGAGCGCTTCAACAGCACTCTGTACATGATCTGCTTGATGGGGGCAAGCTTTCAGTCGGCCTGACCACTTGCTTTTAGAGGCGGGCACACCCTCTGCATGGATATACCTACTCCCTGAACAGGTATGCCTTCCACCTGCACTAGCCTACTGTCTGCCCTCCCCACCTCTGTCCCAGATAGTTGGTAGGGAAGATTGACCGGTATCCAAAAACCAGAGTTGTGACCTAAATTTTGCATTAAGGTTCAGAAATTCACCACTGCAATTCTGTGTTCAGTCCTCAAACTCCTGAGAGTGTGAGTAGTTACTAGATATGTGCATTTGTTGCACTCCTCCTTAAACAAATTGATTTGTTTGACAAAGATTTGGTTCATCTGGCACATAGAGCTGTTATATTATCTTGTGTCAATATGTGCAATATGGTTGAAATAAAAGCAGTAGCAGTATAGTTGCTGAAAAGAGAAATATTTTTTTTCTAGTTAATCCAGAAACAATTGCAAAAATACTGGGTTTTGGGGGGGGGGTCGTCAACACAAACTAGGAAATGTGTACAGAATTTTTTAAATGTACATTTTAAGGAGCAAACAAAATAAAGTCCATGAACACATTCCAAGGTCAATATCACTAATTTAAACTGAAAGGGAATAACAGAGAGAACAGTGTAATAGTCCGAGTCAATACTAGCGAATTTTGTACAAAAGGGAATCCTGTATTCGTAACAGAGGTCAAAATCTAAAAGATCAAATTAAGGAACTAAATGGTCTTCAGAGAGGCTAGAGGAAATGGAGAGGAGGCATTTACGGCAAATAGGAGGACAGGCAAGGGTAACAGACACAATGTCTGTGCAATGAGGCACCGACAGTGTGATGTTTAAATACTCTCGATGCATCTATCAATTCCTTATTTAAAGTAACGGGTCTCCCAAAATGTTTAAAAGGATATAACAGATCAGATTTAAACTTAACACATTTAAAGAAAACATAGCACAAAATCATAACCTTCCGCCCCTCTCCCCCCCCACCATCCCACAGATCTACTTCATGGAGCAATAGGCTTGTGGCATGAACATCATAATGAAGTATCCATTCGCCTTGTGCATTATCGTATCCTTTCCATTTAATAATACTCAAACCTACCATACGTTTGTCTAGGATCAAGCATTTCCTTGACCTCATACTTCTCTTCATTATTATCCATAAGAGTAGGGGGATATTGACTGTATGAGAAGGATCATGGTGATATTATATATATATTTTTTTTTTAAAGTAATTAATTTTTTTTTTTTTTTATTTTTTTTTTTTGGAGAAAACCATGAAATACAGAAAATATTTTAGAAGAATTATGTAGCTTAGGAAATTTTGTTAAAAGCAGAACTTTAATCGCTTATGTTGTATTGAGGAGAAGGTTGATGTTTTTTTATTATAGGTAGTTTGGGCTTACTCAAGGTTTTGTTTTGTTTGATTAGATCAATGTTGTCTTTAATTTGTTCAAAGAAATTTTTGTAAAGCAGGATTAGAAAAGTAGAAATGATTTGAGTGGATTTTGGAATCATTTCCGTAGTTTGAGAAGAAAGGACTCAGTTTAGTGGAGGAGTGTTAACTGTTCTATGAGAATTTGGCTAAGGGCAAAAGTGAAATCCAATTAACTTGTTAAAACGTAGTGTAAGTTCACAAGTATTGTTTGACTATGCCATTGGCAGGTTCTGATTGACCATATGTTTGTGGATGAAAAGCTGTATATAATTTATTGGAAATTTGGAGGGAGTTGCAGAATACTTTCAAGAACCTAGAAGTATATTGTAGATCTTTATCAGTGATCATGTCTTCTAGAATGCGGTTAAAGGCGGATATGTTCTTTAGTAGAAATTTTGGAAAGTGTGGTGGGGGCATCTTTAATTGAAGGTAGAGCAGTGAAATGTGACATTTTGGTAAGCATATAAACTGTGGTCAGAATACAAGTATTGGGTGCGGAGCCTAGCTTCCAGGTTGAATGGACGTGCCGAGTATAAGCTCCTGACAAAACTCTGCATAATCCAGGGCAATCGCCCCAGAAAAATGGTGCATACTACACCTGGAGGGTGACAGACAGACAGACAGACCTGGAGGGTGACAGACAAGTCGGGGACACCCTGGTGAATCGATGGATACCAAGCTTCAAATTGAAACTGACCGGGAACCCGCACCTGTGCTAGGAGGTCTACTTGCCATCCTGCCGTGGACAGTATGGACTCCCCAGCTCACTCACCTCCTACCCCTTCTGGACCGGCGGGGCAAATCCCAGTCCTTACGGTGTGCCTGGAGCAATCAGCCTGCATCAATCTTTGCAGCAGCGACAAGGCGTTGTTGCCCTCCACACGGTGAACCTAAGATGTCGGCTGACCGTACACCACTGACGCAAAATCTGCTCCCACATCAAAAGCCCAACCATGACACCATGTTGCGCCTGGATGAAATATTTAGATGCTTCTGGGACAAATTATGGGAAGCAGCACAGACCGCACAGAGAACCCCACAGCTAACGGATGAGCGGGGCTGCTAGCAGCAGGGGCGGAGGGACACACCCTTGGTCACAGTGCTAGAACATCCACCTATCTCCAAGCTCCAGCGCCTACCCGGGCTGGAGGCCAAAAGGGTGAAGACCCGGGAGCATCATCCACACCCATGGAGGCTCCACCGCCGCAAGCGGCCAAAGCTCATCAGGCCCTCCGTCACAGCTCGAGAAGCCGCAGAGTTGGTGGCAATGAGATGCAGGCCTATGCTCCAGCCTTGGGCTGGGGGGACACCCCCACTAAGGCCTATGCAGCTGCGGCCTCCTACGGCCCACCAACCGGCTATAGCTGCTTCCCAACAGAGGGCATCGGTTGACAAAGACTCTCTATATCGGGCCTCCTGAATTTTCAGGGCCAGGTCCATAAGCAACCATCTCAGACCTGTTACCCAGCATGTCAGGGACTATTAAATTTAGGGAGCAGACCTCATTTTCTCATACAGCTCCAGACCACCTGACTTTAACTCCTGATACTAGAACTAGACGATTTTTCGCCTGACCTACTACCCACCCTGTCTCACGCATGTTAAGTTATACTATATAGCTGACCGGGTAGTCCTGTATACACTTCTATGCCTACGCTAGCTAATGTGTAGTCGTTAATATGACAGATCTCCACCGCAGCACCCAACACGTACAAGCTATTTTGTGAATGATCTATAATTGTTTATCTAACTATGACATACCCACATAATCAGATGAACAAGCTTGTAATTCATATGCTTTCCCTCTTTGTCATTCTGATTATCTGTCCTGCTTTAACTTTTTTATAAAAATGTGCCCCAGTGTACTAAATAATATTAAGCCTGAAGAGTGCCGTTGGGGTACCTCAAGCCTGTTTGTACCAAGCTTATGTACTGCAAAAATATTCAAATTAACTTTGTTTCAAAATACCTTGACCATGCATCTGTGTTGCAATTTTTACAACCAAGTCTGTAGGTAATGTAGAAGTCAAATCTTTTGCATAGTTTTCTAGAAAGAAAGGCAACGGGATGTAAGGTGGAACAATTGTTATCTATAGGACCTATAGCTTGATAAGATGCATCAACTTATATTATCAAGATCTTGATAAAGACCCCAGGAGGGTCGAAACGTCGATTGTCTGTATTTTGCACAGGACATGTATTATTTTATAATACAGTAAAGACTAGGACTGCTTCTGAGTGGCAAAAAAATAGTGTGCTCCCTTCACTTTTGATTATATATATATATATATATATATATATATATATATATATATATATATATATATACACACACACACAGTGCAGAATTATTAGGCAAATTAGTATTTTGACCACATCATCCTCTTTATGCATGTTGTCTTACTCCAAGCTGTATAGGCTCGAAAGCCTACTACCAATTAAGCATATTAGGTGATGTGCATCTCTGTAATGAGAAGGGGTGTGGTCTAATGACATCAACACCCTATATCAGGTGTGCATAATTATTAGGCAACTTCCTTTCCTTTGGCAAAATGGGTCAAAAGAAGGACTTGACAGGCTCAGAAAAGTCAAAAATAGTGAGATATCTTGCAGAGGGATGCAGCACTCTTAAAATTGCAAAGCTTCTGAAGCGTGATCATCGAACAATCAAGCGTTTCATTCAAAATAGTCAACAGGGTCGCAAGAAGCGTGTGGAAAAACCAAGGCGCAAAATAACTGCCCATGAACTGAGAAAAGTCAAGCGTGCAGCTGCCACGATGCCACTTGCCACCAGTTTGGCCATATTTCAGAGCTGCAACATCACTGGAGTGCCCAAAAGCACAAGGTGTGCAATACTCAGAGACATGGCCAAGGTAAGAAAGGCTGAAAGACGACCACCACTGAATAAGACACACAAGCTGAAACGTCAAGACTGGGCCAAGAAATATCTCAAGACTGATTTTTCTAAGGTTTTATGGACTGATGAAATGAGAGTGAGTCTTGATGGGCCAGATGGATGGGCCCGTGGCTGGATTGGTAAAGGGCAGAGAGCTCCAGTCCGACTCAGACGCCAGCAAGGTGGAGGTGGAGTACTGGTTTGGGCTGGTATCATCAAAGATGAGCTTGTGGGGCCTTTTCGGGTTGAGGATGGAGTCAAGCTCAACTCCCAGTCCTACTGCCAGTTCCTGGAAGACACCTTCTTCAAGCAGTGGTACAGGAAGAAGTCTGCATCCTTCAAGAAAAACATGATTTTCATGCAGGACAATGCTCCATCACACGCGTCCAAGTACTCCACAGCGTGGCTGGCAAGAAAGGGTATAAAAGAAGAAAATCTAATGACATGGCCTCCTTGTTCACCTGATCTGAACCCCATTGAGAACCTGTGGTCCATCATCAAATGTGAGATTTACAAGGAGGGAAAACAGTACACCTCTCTGAACAGTGTCTGGGAGGCTGTGGTTGCTGCTGCACGCAATGTTGATGGTGAACAGATCAAAACACTGACAGAATCCATGGATGGCAGGCTTTTGAGTGTCCTTGCAAAGAAAGGTGGCTATATTGGTCACTGATTTGTTTTTGTTTTGTTTTTGAATGTCAGAAATGTATATTTGTGAATGTTGAGATGTTATATTGGTTTCACTGGTAATAATAAATAATTGAAATGGGTATATATTTGTTTTTTGTTAAGTTGCCTAATAATTATGCACAGTAATAGTCACCTGCACACACAGATATCCCCCTAACATAGCTATAACTAAAAACAAACTAAAAACTACTTCCAAAAATATTCAGCTTTGATATTAATGAGTTTTTTGGGTTCATTGAGAACATGGTTGTTGTTCAATAATAAAATTAATCCTCAAAAATACAACTTGCCTAATAATTCTGCACTCCCTGTGTGTGTGTGTGTGTGTATATGTGTGTGTATATGTATGTGTGTGTGTGTGTGTGTGTGTGTGTGTGTGTATATATATATATATATATATATATATATATATATATATATATATATATATATATATATATATATATATATATTATATACACACACACACACAGATGGAGGCAATTCAAGTTCAGTAGTGATAGGAATTTTGTATATACAAATCATTTATTTATTTATTTCCCTCCTGTGATGAGCAAATCAAATTTGTTACTCTACAGCCGAACTAATTAAGCCATCCAGGTTTTACGTGATAGATCGATTAGCTGAGGCCTAGATTAGGTGGAATTTGATTCATCTGTCACAGGTAAAAAAGATTTTTGCACAAATCTAGTATACACCTAAATTGAAATTTAATTAAATTCACAAACCCTTTATTTTTCTAACAGAGTATTGCTGACATCCTATTAAATCAAATGAACTTCTGGTAACATCACTGCTTTTGAATCAGGAAACTCTAACCAGTGAATGTCATTGGGCAAGACACTTAATAATAAAGATAAAAGGATGAGACAGCGCTTAATTAACTTATAGGCAGCAACCTTAAAAGGGGATTTTAAGGTTGCTGCCTATAAGTTAATTACTTAATAATATTTAGCCGCCTACTTCAAATCCTCATATATTGTAAGCTTGCTTGAGCAGGGCCTTTTTAACCACAAACTACCCCATTTATACTTTATGTTAAAGTTCCACAAAGTGTTCCAATTTTACATGGCCACTTCAGAATGACCAAGTCAATTACAAACACCATGAATTGGGAAAACTTTGTTAGTGAATTTCCAAATGTAAGGTCTTAGTAGTCCAATTGGAAGCTTAGATGAGTTAGAAAAGCCAGATATTTTTACATTAAATTTGAAATTCACTTTGAATTCTCACTTTAGTGAATGACCCAGTAAGGTAACTTTTTATTATTATTATTATTTTTTATTTTATTTTTTCTCCAAGCATGGTGTCTGTAATTGATTTGGTTAGACTGCAAGACTATATCTGTAAATTTCAGTGGTAGAAAGAGGATCCAGACACTCTAAGTATCTTCAATTGTATTTATTTGGATAAGTAAACCACCGCAGTTTCACACTTATCCAAATAAATACAATTGAAGATACTTGGGAGTGCCTGGATCCTCTTTCTACTGCTGATATCTACTCCCTGGGGCTGGTGCTGGCCCTTGGTCCAGTTTAGCACCTGGATCTTCACGTGATTGGAGTGTGGTTTTTTTATATATATATCAGTACAAGGTCTTCTTACATTTACCAAACAAACCACTTTTTAAAAATGTATTTATTTTTTTAAATAACATTATTCTGCATTTAGTTGAACTAAATGTGCGCATTGGAATAATTTAGCCTCTGAAATTTGTCTTCAAAAACATTTTAACACTAATTTAATTATATTAAATGGTTATATCACAAGAAAATTAATTTCTGTGTTTTGAAAAACAGATTTGAGTGGTTGCATTAAATTTGATAGTGAATTATCATTCTGTAACGTTGTCAAGAATTATTTGTGTCACGAAATGTTAAAAAAACAAAACATTGGCTTGGAGGGGTTATGGCTGAAATTCAGGAATGTAGACATCTGCAGTTAGATACTCCTACTCTAGTTACGACCAATATTTTTAGTTTGTATAAGCTTGGTAATCATTTTAAACTTAAGTTGTTTTGAATGTACTGATCCATATCTTATGTCACCATAACAGCACCTTGTACCCACTATAAACCTCGCACTCCTTTCCAAATTGAGGAAACTGGTTAATGTTTATCCTTCTCCAAATAAGAAATGTTTAAAAAAAAAAAAAAAAAAAACCCAACCAAATAATTTACTCTCTAGAGAACTGGAAGCTCGTGTGAGGAGTTTCCATCAGGTGTTATTGGTGCCTAGAGGACCCCAGCCCAGCTAAGTATTAAAACCAGTTTAACTACTTATATTGAGGGGGAGGGGTGCCAGAGTACTATAGTGGTTATGGTGCCTGGAGTGTACCTTTTGAAGTTTGAGCAAACATTGGGAGAGATTTATAAAAACTGACACATTTTGTTTCACATTTGCATAATTTTGTGCATGTGTGCGATTTTCTTAGGTATAAAACTGAAACCCACTTATACATGGGTGATTTTTCTCAGTTT